GAAAAAGATATTTTAGGTAGTTTGTTTAGAAGAAGAATGTATTATTTTGAAATATCGAAGTGCTGACATGACCTTGATGCTATTGTGTTAATTAATTTCTTAAGTTGTGTTCTTGATTGAGTTGGTGTCTGGTTAAATCGGGAAACCAATTCAGTCAGGGACCTTAATATTAGTATAGATGTCGATACTCTAATTCTTACTTTTTTTGTCACAATATCTAGTTTTCTTTCTGCTATGTTTTTCTTTTTCTTTTTAATTTATTCTAAATTTTCGTTGTTAATGCTCTATCAGGCTATTTTCCAGCGATATCTCCGGCGTGAGAAAGAATATTTATCTTTTTCTCTTATATACGACAACGTGAAAAGGTCACTTGATCTGGTTTGTAATGGAACTTTGATAGTCTGTTTGTAGGTAGATAATAAGATATTGTTTATATTTTTTATTCTCTTATGTGTGTCTCTTCTTAATTTAATGCATGGTTGGCTTCTAGATTTGCAAGGAAAAAGCCGAGGCAGAGGTGCGGATTGTAGGCCTCAAAGAATTAATTTCCTCTGGTCAGAGTGGACGCTCCAAAATTGATGGCTGGATTGATGGAGGCTTTTACCTTGATGAAATTCCATCTTCTTTTGACTTCTTCCGACTAGTCTTTGTGTTTTTTTTTTCTATTTGATGAAGTGATGTATATAATTTTAAGTATAACCACTGGTATCTATTCCATTGGCCGAATAATCCAGATTAGGTGCTGATGTTGTTACATGTTCAAAATGCGACACAATTTAGGTGGGTTAACTTTGTATATAAGATTTCAGTGGCTTATTCCTAGTTATTAAAATTCTTTCATTTATAGGCCTAAAAATATATGCTTAATTTTTTTTAATTGTGTTACTATTATAGCTACAGTTAATCATGTTTACCATAAATGTTTATCCCTGACTGGTTCCAGAATGGCAGATATCTGACATCAAATAGCGCAACTGACAGTTCTGTCAGTGCCACTCGAGATATTAGTTCCCCTGAAGTTTTTGTCAGTTTAACCCTAACACTTCACCTAAGAGTTCACAACCTGATAATTATTTTCATTCTGAAAGGTCACATACAGCATCAGAAGTCACAAATATGGATGTAAAAGGATCTAGTTCATATGTTTTTCGTGTTAGTGTTTCTAGTGCCCCAAGTACTTCTAGTCATGGTTCTACACCGGATGATTATGATGCTTTAGGGGATGTGTATATATGGGGTGAAGTGATCTGTGATAGTGCTATGAAGGTCGTAGCTGATAAGAATGCCAATTATTTTAGCATGAGGGCAGATGTACTTCTTCCCAGGCCTTTAGAGTATAATGTAGTTTTAGATGTACATCATGTAGCCTGTGGGGTCAAGCATGCTGGCCTAGTTACAAGGCAAGGTGAAGTTTTTACATGGGGTGAAGAATCTAGAGGACAAATTGGCCATGGTGTTGGAACGGATGTTATTCAACCTCGTCTTGTTGAATCACTGGATGTCACTAGTGTTGATTTTGTCGTCTGTGGTGAATTCCATACTTGTGCTGTTACAATGGCTGGGGAACTTTATACATGGGGAGATGGAACTCACAATGTTGGGCTTCTTGGTCATGGTACTGATGTCAGCCACTAGATACCAAAGAGAATTTCAAGTCCTCTTGAGGGGCTTCAAGTAGCTTCATTAACTTGTGGTCCATGGCATACGACTTTGATAACATCAACAAGACAGCTGTTTTACTTTCAGAGATGGTACATTTGGTTCCTTGGGCCATGGTGAAAGATAGAGTGTTCCATATCCAAGAGAAGTAGAGTCTTTGTCAGGATTGAGAAAAATTGCCGTGGCATGTGGAGTGTGGCATAAATGCATGGACATCATAGATATAATCATCGGTTGAGTAGAAAAGGATATGCTGGACTAACACTTGAGATTTTATGTAGTAAATTAATTGAATAGTTTAGATATTCATATGTTTATTGTTGTTATTCTTTTTAATTTAGATGCAAGAAACGGGAAAAGAGGAATACGAGATTGATAGAGCATTGTTGTGGAAAAAGGCAAGACAAATGAAAAAAATAAGGTTATGACCCGAATGTTTAGATTATTGTTGATAAAATGGTAAGTTCCTGTGAACATTCCTACTTTATTTATTTTCTACTTATTGTTATAGCACCAAGTTAGTATATATATGTTTGCTTATTTCAAACTACTTTATTTATTTCCATACTTGCAATAATCTTATTATTATGATTAAAATTTATCATTTTAGTACTCTTTGATATTTATATACTTCACTTTAAATAAGTATAAATTATATACTTATTTCATATTTTTTACTTAGGTTGGAGATGGGAAGGAAGAATACACGGATGATGACATTGATGATACTCGCAAAGAATGAGTATTTTATGTGGAAAACTTTATTATGCCGTGATATTTTGTATCGACATATGATTACAATATTTTTGGTAACTTAATGTTAATATATTATATGCAAATGGATTGCTTATATAATAGATATATATATATAATATATATATATATATATAGAGAGAGAGAGAGAGAGAGAGAGTATAATGAGGCATTAAATGTGATTTAGTTTGATTATTTGTCAATCTACATATATATATATATATATATATATATAATTTACGACATACAACCACGACACACGAATGGGTGTCATCTTTTCTAATGACGTGTGCTTCAATGACACGTAATGTAAGTCATAAATGCGTTTCATAAATTTATGACAAACCAATGTGTGTCGTCTTCATTAATGATGGGGGCTTCAATGACGTGCAATGAGCATCATAAATATGTTTCATAAATACACGTCATAGATTTATGACGCACAATTGCGTGTCATCTGAGATTTATGTCGGTGGCTTCAACGGTGCTCATTTGTGTGTCATCTGCACCCATAGAAGACGCATAATGCGCGTCATTAAAGGGGTTTTTTCTAGTAATGTATTAAGACAATTTTCAACATGGAATAGCAACAGTCTTCCACCCCTTGGATGAAATTAAGGCCAAATTCAGCTTCAAATTGTCTAGATTCATCCCAAAATGATCTAGAAAATTCAACCAAACTTGAAGATAAGAAGATAAAGCATTAAAATGCATTTTATTGCTAATTTGATGAGAATGTTTTCATCTTTTGAGTCATTTCATATGCTGCTTAGAAATAGTATAAATAGGCACCTTTGGGATCATTTGTAGACACACATTTGAATATATAAAATATCATTGAGAGCTTGCTTTCATTCTGTTCTCTTGTAGAACTTTATCGGCTTTAAGATAGTTTTGTATTCTTCATCCATTTCCTTTTATTATAGCGTTGGTTACTAGCTCATCTACATCTAGTGGGTCACGTTCCATCTACTCCCACTTTGATTCTATCTCTTTATATTATTGGTTCCTAACTTCATATAGTTAAAGGGTCACAATCTGTTTTCTTTTCAATCTATCTTACACAATCCACGCCATTACCAACCCATACCTTCGCCATACTTTCATTCCATCCAAACTACAACTTCCATCATCTTCCGTTCAAAGCAAGCAATTCAATCTCTTACTAGAATCACGATCGGACAATCATATATATGACTCGAAACTCATAATTGATATCATATTATGAACGGTCCACATGAACACTTAGAGGTTGTTAATTGAATCCTAAGATACCCAAAAATGACTCTAGACATGGATTACTCTTTGAAAAAGCGAAAACCGTGAAGTAGAGGTATTCACTGATACAAGTAGGGCTAGACAATTTACTGAAAGGAGGTCTACAAGTAGCTATTGCTCTATTGTTTGGGGCAACCTAATCAAAAAAAGCAGTTCGTAGTAAAAAGTACTGTGAAGTCTTAATTTCAAGCAATTGCTTCAAGAATTTTTGAAGGAATTTGGATTCAAAGGCTATTAAATGGGCTAAAGGTTGATTCAAAAGATCAAGATACAAAGTAACAATCAATCAGCCATTAACATTGCTAAAAATTATGTTCATCAAGATCAGACAAAACATGTGGAGATTATCATACACTTCATTTCAAAAAAGGTCAAGTATGGGACTTGTAGAACTACACTAAATTCCTACTCAACAACAACTTGTAGATATTCTTACCAAAACCATTGCAAGGACGAGCATTGATGGACTCAATTCGTACATGGTATTGTACAACATGTACACGGAGCGTGAGGGGGAATGTGGAAAGCTATTGTGATTGAAAGGCTATTAGAAGAGGATTTTTTTATCTTAAATTATAGTTCTAATTTTAATTTACTTGCAATTTATGATTATGTTTTACCTTCTTAGAAAATAATATTTTTAGGAGATACAAGTTAGGATAAAGATTCCTAGTTAAACTTTACTTTTATAATTCTCAGCCTACAAAAGCATGTTGATTTTTTTTCCAGTAAGCAATTCGAACAAAACTTAGGGTCTCTCTTCATTCGAATTCTCACTTTTCTTTCTTCTTAGAATATTTACAAGTTTAGTACATGATCATTGTGAGAAAGATAGAGGAAGGCATTATCATCTTCACATAAGATCTAATATTATTTCCTAATTTATCAATTCGAAGTATTACCCAAAAGGCTACAAGGTCAGGATCAAAGACTCTTGCCTAGAGGCAACCATGCTAAAGTTCAACTTCATCAAGTTGTACAGAGTAATATCATAATTTCATCTTAAAAGTTAGGGACATTCACTTAGAGTTGAGTTGGCAACAATATACGTTGGATAAGCTCATTAAAGAAATAATAAAGGTTATAACAGGAAGCCAAAAAAAAACCATATCCAAAAAAAGTGTAAGACAACTATGTAGTCTATTTGACAGAAATTAATTTATTTAGAAAAGGGAAAAAAGTTGGAACATTGATACACAATCATGCATGCTTTCAATCCATCAAAACTTCATATACAGAAAATAATTTATGTACAAAGAAAAAAATCATATATTGAAAATTCACTTCATGTGAATTAAAGAAAAAATAATCTCTACAGCTTGGCCAGCCCCAAAGAGCAATGCCACCTTCTGGAATGAGATTTCTTGCACCTGCAGCGGCCACATATAACATCTAAAACATAAATATCAAGGAGATGCAGCTGAATGCAACATACATGAAAGGAAGGATGAACCACGTCGATAACATAGGTTTCATAATTTTTTTGGCATGATATAGAAATATAACTCTCTCTCTCTCTTCTTTTTTCTTTTTTTTTTTGGGGGGGGGGTTGGTGTGGTGGTTGCACTTTGAGTGACAAAAATGTCAAAGGTATGAACTGTAGATTTAAATTATTGAAGACTTGGATTCCAAACAGTGGACTCCCTCTTTGGTCTATCCAACATTAATGCATCATGCTATTCTACTTTTCCATCATTGGGAATGTAGTTTCAATTCAGATTTTAGGTTCTCATTATATGTTGTTGAGGATGATAAAAGTGATCTAACATTAATTGAAGTGACAGTAACTTAAGGATGAAGTAAAAAACCGGTCCTGCACACACATACAGTAGCTTGGGCGGAATCCCATGAGAAGAATGTTGTGAAGAAGAAGGGTTAGTTTCTTTCGGTAACTTTGTAAAGTGGAATAAGTGGGGACAAGCCTTCTAGAGATGCAACCATGTCAATTTATTTCTGCAAAGAACTTATAAAATGAATAGCAAGCATCTTGGAAGAATAAAAAGCTGAGGAATCAATTTCACATTTATACTTGGCCAACTTCAAAGGTGTTTTGCTTTTCTTTGGGGTCTACACACTTACCAACCCAAACAAACACTTCAGCATGTGTGTCAAGTATCAAAATATCTTCTGTCAAGAGATCGTCCTGAGAGAAATTGTAAACTTCTTCAACCTGCAACAGAATGTGGATTTACATATGGAATACACAAAGATGCCTGTCCGAACTGGTTTCAATTAAATTTGAAAAAGCTCACCACAAACTTTCCTGAGGCATCCATGTAGAATCATACAAAATAATGCAAAGAACGATTATAATGGCTAATTTTTTTTAAGAAATATAATGGCTAAAGTTCCATTAATAATCGGGGGCAAGAGACGCAATCTTAGAGCAAAAATATGAAAATAAAGCAAATCATGTTTATTTATTTATTTTGATAGAAAATATAGGCCTCGTTAAAAAATCCCTTCGTAACCGTCAAGCTACGAAGGTAGCTCAACATACATTGGAAGGAGGAAAAGAGTGCCATAAATTTTATTACTAAAAAACAGATACAAGAAGAGTACAAAAGACCAAAATACATCCAAACATCACCTACCATCGAACAACAAAACAACCCAGTACATAACAACTAACTAGTCCCCAATTTAGCAAACTCGTCACCCTTGTAGTTGGCAACTCTCTTAATATACCTAATAACTACACCTTTATTTGACACAATATTAGCAATGTTATTCACCACTTCCTTAAACAGAGGAGTACAATAAACTGGATTATTGATCCAGTCTAAGGCAACTAAACATTCAAACTCTAAAATTAGTCATCCCCTTCATTCCCACTTCGATCCCAAAAATAGCTGGAAACCCCTCTTAATAGCCAATAGTTCTGCCAAAATTGGAGGACCATATCTAACTTTCTCAAAAAATGAATCCAACATTGAACCATTTTTGTCCCGAAGTAAACCAACTATGCCACCCTTCTGCCAATGACTATATATAGCACCATCCACTTTTACATTAAAGAAAACTAGTAGAGGAGGACACCAACCTTCACGAATAGAATAAACTTTTTTTGAACACTGGCAGAAATCTGTTATCGAAAGATTGCCCACAAAACTGTCAAAAAGGACCAAACAATTTTGAAACTTTAAAGAGAACCATGTTGCCACTCAGTATCTTACCAGAAAAAAATTGAACTCGATTAAGATTCCCTGTTTTAAAAACTATTTTGTTTCTTTCCTTCCAAATCGACCACAAGATTGTTTCAAGAATAAAGGTCCATATGGACGAATGTGGGACCAAACCAAACCAGGCCGATTGTAAATCACCAGACTCTAGGGGACAACGAAAGAGATATTCCACATGCTCATAAAACTCGTCCAAAGACCCAAAGAGACATTGCAGGAAACAAAAAGATGAGAAACATATTCTGGATAAGGGCCACACATGGGACACAATTGATCCTCAATCCCCAATACACCACGCTTAACTAATTTGACTTTTACTACCACCTTTTTGTGAGCCACTTGCCACACGAAAGACTCCACCCGAGGAGGGGCAACCCTAAGCCATTCATATTTTGGCAATAAAAAGTTAACTTCAGACCTATCAAACATAAGCCTCATGCACGATTTCACCGAGAAACAACCATCTCCCTATCCAAACCAAACATAACTATCATCAATCAACTCCGAGGAGTGAAAGTTGTATAACAACGAATAAAATTAAAGCCACTGCTCCATCTCCCAGTCTGCCAAATTCCTCCTCATCTGGATATCCCAAATCCAACCAAAAGAGCTTTTTATCCTAAAGTTAACAATTTTCATTTCTTTGTTAGTCGGAGGATAAACAATCTTGGAAATCGATTTTTCAAGGGAACTCCATCTAAACACACATCATGCCAAAACGAAATGGATTCATCATTGTCGACCCTAATATGAGTATTTCCCTTAAAACAAACACCAAAATCATTACATAGAAAATAGTTCTTAACTATCCTTTTCCATAGCCAATAAGCTCTAGAGGAAATTAATTTATCAACCGCAAAGGATGTCAAGTCAATATTGTTGACATAACATATAACCCTTTTCCACATCGACTATTTCTCATAAATGAACTTCCACATCCACTTCCCCAAAAGAGCTCAATTCATAAGATCCAACTTTGCTATTCCCAAACCACTCAATTCCTTCGGTCTGTAAACCCAAGCCCACTTTTCCCAATGAATACTTTTCCTATAATTCAACCCTCCATAAAAAACCAGTCATAATAGTGTTTTATAAATATTCATAATAGTTAATATTTTCTCGTTATTTCTTCGATCATGTGGATTTATTGCTGTTGATTTGGTTGTGTTATGCTTATTTTTGTGCAGGTCCTTACTTTCTAGAACTAGTGGTTAAACGGGCGTATTCTGCATTTTTTTATTATTTGGTCATATCTTGAGATATGGGCACGACACTGGGCACGACACAGTATGATATGGCAGTTTTTAGAAGGTCCAGTTAGCGGCGGTTTCTAAAAGATCTAGTCAGAGCACCTTCTAGAAGATGGACGAGCAGGGTTGCATTAGGAGACTTGTTTAAAGTTCGAATTTAGGGAAAAAACAATTATCTTTAGGATTATTTTATTTTAATTTCTTTGTTTATCCTTAGGCTTTGAGAAGATATAAATACCCTCTTGGGGTAAGCCTATAGACACATTTCAGATTACAATTCTCTTTTCCTTTCTAGTTTTATTAAAAGTTTTCTTTTTTATTTTACTTTTCAAGGTTTTCAATTTTTTCTTTTTATTTTAAAGCTTTGTTTTTAAATATGCTAAGTATGACTTTTGTCATGCTTAGCTAATTTTCTCATAAGCCGAGAGCTGAAGCGATGACTCAATTCCATCGGGAGAATTGAAACAGGCCCTTAATATCTTTGGAGTATCTCTCTCAATCTCTGCGCTTATTTTTGTTTTCAAAATCAAAATAGTTTTCGAAATCAAAGATAGACTTTGGTCAAGATTGTTGTTGCGATTAAATGTGTGGGAGGAAGGATCGGCTTATTGAAAGTACATTCGACTTCCTGGGAGCACACTTGGCGAGATAGCGTCGCCAAGAGGGAATTGAGATCAAAATTGACGGTTATATAAGCAATAATCACCATAAATTCTACAAAAATGATGAGGGGATTATTTTTATACCGTTAGACTATTATACCAGTCTAGTTTTTTTCAGAACAAACAAAAATTGATTTCTAGGTATATACAAAAAGATATGAAATTTTAATCGAGGATAGGTCAGAAAATGGGGCAGCAGATTCTGCTCAAAACATATTATGTCGGCCAACTTTGAAAATTTACCATAAATTGTACAAATTGAAATGAGTGATTTATATGGATAGATTCTTATTTGAGTCTAAAATGATGAGGGATTATTTTTATACCGTTAGACTATTATACCAGTCTAGTTTTTTTCAGAACAAACAAAAATTGATTTCTAGGTATATACAAAAAGATATGAAATTTTAATCGAGGATAGGTCAGAAAATGGGGCAGCAGATTCTGCTCAAAACATTATGTCGCCAACTTTGAAAATTTACCATAAATTGTACAAATTGAAATAGGAGTGATTTATATGGATAGATTCTTATTTGAGTCTAGTTTCCATTTGTATAAACGTAATATTTTTTGAGTGTTCGAATTAGAAGCAAAAGATCAAGTTAAAGCTTAGTGAGACTTATGTTTTGACTTTTATATAATGTCAAAGTGACTGCAATTCATGCATGACATTATGCATAGATGTTTTATACATCATCAGGAAGACTTGCGATAAGTCTACCTTGTTTATATTGGCAAGATATTTATGTCAGGCCAATGTTAAATTATGATAATATGCTTTGCCATGGATGGAAAAAAAGACTATATGCCCAAGTATGTTATCGAGGGTTAGTTGTATTAATGGCATGCCATAAAGTCTAGAACCTACATATTAGGTAGCACTGGAGTGTCTAGAGAAAGAACATAGTGCATGCCTCTAAGTATTTAGAGAAGACACATGGTACAAAACACTACGGTGTATAAGGTGGGTAGAGCCCGACCTCAGCACTACGGTGCATTATTAGGCGAGAAAAGACTCGACCTCAACACTACAATGCAATATTTGACTCCTATATTGGGGTCCTCATACAATTATACTTTGGGCTATGGTTTATTGGTTAATAAATGATAAACAGACAAATAAGCTTATGAGCTTGTGGAATGAATGGCAAGTATATTGGTAAGAAACTTGATATCCAGTTATATCATGTTAATATATGGTAACATGGTTGGAATACAAGTAATGTGATCATATTGCATTGAATATGGTTATTCATTTAAATTTGTTTGTTGCATTGCTTTAAATATTCATATGATTGCCTCACTAAGTGTATACTTAGCATGTGATGATTTTCACACTTAGGAAACATTAAGAAAATGAGTAAGGAGTTGAACTTGGCATCAATCACCAAGGAAATATTTACAGGTAACAATGATGACATCCTACTGTGTTCTAAAAGTTCTATCTGGCATGTATATGAGAATGAAATGTATGCAATTTCTTAATATAATTACTATTAAATATAATTAATGGTGTGAAGAAATATTATGATATTAAACTATGCTTAAAAATAATTTGGGATTTTAAATCAAACGTGATTGACAGTCTTATTTAATTTATGAAAATAGAAAAAAATTGTCTATCACTACTTGAAACTGGTTTTGAATTGGTAACCAATAATATTATATTATGATTTTTCTCTGAATAATTATTTTATAATAATTGTTCAAGTTATCAAACTTGAGATGTTTGGATGAAACAAAATTTTACTCATTTCAATTAATGAAATATTTTGAATTTCTGATGTGACATCTGTAACTCCTATTGGTTTGTGTACACCAGTTATGGGTGTTACAAGATAAAAGTGTAAAATTCTTCACATAAAGAGGACAAGAAGGTGCTCAAAGCAATTGAATTCCTAAACTCATCCAATAGATCCATATTCAACACACACAAAAATAAAGAGAAAAGACAGAAAAAGAGAAAGAAAAAGAAAATGAAAGAAAAAAAAGAAAAAAAAAAAAAGGAAATAGAGAAAAGAAAAACGAGAAAAAAAGAAATGAAAACATATCAAGTACTTCAAGATGAGTGACTCGTCAAGCCTCAAGCCACAAGGTTGATCAAGTGCAATCGTTTCAAAGATCCAATTCACAAGAAGATTATGTAACACCAAAGAAAATCAAAAGGAAATAAAATATATATTGCAAGCATATTAAATTTTAGCAAGGTAAGATTTAACACA